AAGTCATTAAAATGCGAGATGAAGAATGTGAAAAACTCCGGAAATTACAGGAACAGCTCAACAAATTTGAAAATCAACTCCAGACCAGTGTACAAAGTTCCGATGATGTTTTAAAGAGGAAGGCTACAATTCCAGTTCTAGATATTTTACCCAAAGTCCAAACATTAGCAGATGTCGACACATCTAGAAGTCTCGATTATCCATTGATAAGATATCCAGATTTCCCCTCTGTTTTAATTGATCCACAGTCTTTAAAACAACAAGTTGGTAAATTGAAAGTAGTTCTAGGAGCTTTCACGTCAATATTTGATACGAGTATAATGAAGATAGATGAATATTACTACAACAAAAATACGGATTTACAAGAAATTGCATGGTTTTTACGAGTCATACCTAGAAACCATACAAACAGCACTAAGCTGTGTATTTATTTGTATTTGAGGAAGGGAGTGAACGTCAATGTTAACTCCTGTTCGACTAGTATTACAGTGACCCTGGTAAACAGAAAAGATGAGAAAAAGTCTGTAGTGAAAACAGTTGATGATGTCATTCTGACACCGGAAAAGATGTGTTATAGTTTGGATAATGTCATAGACTGGGACTTCTTATTGACTAAGGACAATAATTTTCTTGACGATGAGAATAAATTTGCACTTGAAATAGTTATTAGAGAAACAGAAAGACACCGATAACTGTACGACTATGGTCAATTAAAAATAACTTGATGGAGGGGATAATTGTAAATGAATAACTTAATAAATAAACCAGAAAATAACTTAATAAAAAACCCAGAAAATAACAATAAATGAATTATTCCAAAAAGTAACGCAATAAATGAATTATTCCAAAAAGTAACGCAATAAATGAATTATTCCAGAAAACAACTTTACTTTGTTCAATTTCCAAATATGGACAAAAAATTATAATCCCGGTGGTGAAGCTACATAAAAGTAACGCAATAAATGAATTATTCCAAAAAGTAACGTAATAAATGAATTATTCCAGAAAACAACTTTACTTTGTTCAATTTCCAAATATGGACAAAAAATTATAATCCCGGTGGTGAAGCTACATAAAATGAAATGAAATAAAACGGGGTTTAACGTCCTACTGGGCTAATGAAGACGGGCGGAAACATATGAAAGTGCTGTTAAATAATGTATCTATAGTTTTGAGAACTATGATCATTCTAAGTCGGTATACTATTAGGGAAATTTGCCTGGAGAGCGGTCTATTCTTATTTCGAATTCCAACTGATAAGGGTTCCTTTATTATTTTACGTGTACAGCAAGTTGTACATGGTACGTCCGCTTTTTGTCCCATCGACTATACCTTTATCAGACCCTTCGTAAATCAGCACTGAAATGGAGAGAGGGGGGATTTAATATCCACTCGACACAAACTATATCATTTCGGGACTAACATATGGTTCTATTTATTTCCATAATTCGCTTGCGCGTAGGGGTCTTTAGCTGTGTGAGGGGGAACCAAAGGACCCGGAGAAAACCCACGAGGTTAGACAGGTGACCCTACACCTTGTCACGTACAATCGGGAAATCGCGGACCTTATAATACAACGCGCACGCGCCAGCCATTCGGCCATCCAACCCCCCTGCACTGAGCCATCGCGACGCAATATTAAATTTGTTGATAGTCATTTGCACATTTCAGTCAGTATTCAATTTCCCATGACATAATCCATGCTAAGATGTACTCGGCATGATTATATAACATTTAATTAAAATAAAAACTGCCATTCTCAGTCTTGCTCCAAATTGTTCACCTTATGTTTTAATAGGGGGGTTGGATGGCTGAATGGTTAGCGTGCGCGCGCTGTATCATAAAGTCTGTCATTGAGTCGACTGGCGTGGTTTCGAATCTCCGGTTGTACGTGACAAGGAGTAGGGTCGCCTGTCCAACCTCGTGGGTTTTCTCCGGGTCCTCCGGTTTCCTCCCACTGCTAAAGACCCCTACGCGCAAGCGAATTATGTAAATAAAATTAAACCATATGTTAGTCCCGAAATGACCTAGTTTGTGTCGAGTGGACGTTAATCCCCATTTCTCTCTCTCTCTCTTATGTTTTAATATATCAATAAGAAACTTTGTGAAAGGTTTTGTGTTTCTGGATCAAAGATATTTTTTTTTTTTTTGTAACAGTGATTGGAAGTTGAGTAAATTCTGTCTGAGAATGCTTCGTGAACTCGGGGTCTGATTTTCTATTACGAGATCCCTCTAATGACGATCAGAGATTTTAATATACAGCTCTAAAAATAAAACAAGACCATTATAATACATATTATATATATATATATATATATATAATAAATCAAAGTTTGTGCGATTCATATCTAAAACATATACAATACACGTGACCTAATCCACTTATAAAGATAGGTTGCCAGGCAACGAAACAAGCCCACAGCAGCAAGTCGTCCGCGGAGTCATATTTTTTCTTTTGTCAGAAATGAAAACATTTACAAGACACTACGAGTAACAATCCATTTGGCTTCTAGTTCAGCCCTATTCTAACATTTAGCATACAAAACTTAGAGCTAAATCGCTAAAATTTGGGACCTAGAAATTAAAACAAGTGGGTCGCAACTCATATAATACTGTAATATGAATGTATATAAACTGATTTACATTCAATCGTTTCCGTTTTTACTCTAATTGTCCCCCGCCTTTCGAAGAAAGCAGGGGACTATTAAAATGGGTTCGTCCGTCTGTCTGTCTGTCTGTCTGTCTGTCTGTCTGTCTGTCTGTCTGTCTGTCTGTCCGTCCGTCCGTCTGTCCGTCTGTCTGTCCGTCACACTTTTTGGGACACAATAACTCTCTTCCTAATTGAGCTAGAATGTTCAAACTTGGTGTATGTGTTTATTAGGTCAATGCCTTGATGGAGTTCGAAGATGAGCATTTTCCGCTTAGGGTAAGCAGAGATAAGCAATTTGATTGGTTGATGCTTTGGGACACGATAACTCTCTTCCTAATTGGGCTAGAATGTTCAAACTTGGTGTATGTGTTGATTAGGTCAATGCCTTGATGGAGTTCGAAGATGAGCATTTTCCGCTTAGGGTAAGCAGAGATAAGCAATTTGATTGGTTGATGCTTTGGGACACGATAACTTTTAATTGAGCTAGAATGTTCAAACTTGGTGTATGTGTTTATTAGGTCAATGCCTTGATGGAGTTCGAAGATGAGCATTTTCCGCTTAGGGTAAGCAGAGATAAGCAATTTGATTGGTTGATACTTTGGGGCACGATAACTCTCTTCCTAATTGAGCTAGAATGTTCAAACTTGGTGTATGTGTTGATTAGGTCAATGCCTTGATGGAGTTCGAAGATGAGCATTTTCCGCTTAGGGTAAGCAGAGATAAGCAATTTGATTGGTTGATGCTTTGGGACACGATAACTTTAGTTCTAATTCAGCGAGATTGATGAAACTTGGTGTATAGTTTCATTACATCAATACCTTGACTAAGTTTGATAATGAGCATTTTCTGCTCAGGGTAAGCAGAGCGATACGCAATTTTATTGGCCGAGACTTTGGAACACAATGACTCTCCCTCTAATTGAGCTAAAATGTTCAAACTTGGTGTAGGTGTTTATTAGGTCAATGCCTTAAAGGGGTGTGGAGATGAGCATTTTCTGCTTAGGGTAAGTAGAGATAAGCAATTTGATTGGCTGATGCTTTGGGACACGATAACTTTAGTTCCAATTTAGTGAGAGTGATGAAACTTGGTGTATAGTTTCATTACATCGATACCTTGACTAAGTTCAATATTGAGCATTTTCTGCTCAGGGTAAGCAGAGCGATAAGCAATTTGATTGGCCAAGACTTTGGAACACAATAACTCTCGTTCTAATTGAGCTAGAATGTTCAAACTTGGTGTAGGTGTTTATTGGGCCAATGCCTTGATAGAGTGCAAAGATGAGCATTTTCTGCTTATGGTAAGTAGAGATAAGCAATTTGATTGGTTGATGCTTTGGGACAAGATAACTTTAGTTCTAATTAAGTAAGAGTGATGAAACTTGGTGTATAGTTTCATTACATCAATACCTTGAATAAGTTCGATGATGAGAATTGTCTGCTTAGGCTAAGGAGCAATAAGCATTTTGATTGGTCAAGACTTTGGAACATAACAACTCTGCTTCTAATTGAGGTAGAATGTTTAAACTTGATGTAGATGTTCGTCTTGACTGAGTTCAATGATTAACATATTGAGCTAAAGCTAAGCAGAGATAAGCAATTTCCTTGGTCGATGCTTTGGGACAAGATAACTTTGATTCTATCTGATAGAGAGTGATGAAACTTAGTGTATAGTTGATAATCAGTTTGATTGCTCGATACTTTTGAAAAAAATAGATGTGTGATTAATTAATATGTGTCATCTATTTATTTGGGATTTCGGCGGGGGACATCAGCCTCACTGTTGGCTTGTTTCAAATCAATTATGTTCCGTGAAATAAGCCAGCAGTCTCAATCGAATGCAAATTCCTAGCGTCTGGTTATTCCAGTCTACATACGCTATTTGGTTTGGTGTAATATGTCTAGCCTCGTTCCTCGAGTCTCCTGCTAGAACTGGGGCTGAAACGCATTATGGTACACGATTCGTGTACCAATTGTACAATATTTATTTTGTCTTAAATATTGGATATCAGAAGCCCATCTTTTTCCGGTAAGATCACAGCATCAATGTTGTTTTAAATTGACAAATAATTCGTGTTTTCAATGTTGAAGATTTTGGATGATATTGAGTTAGAGACTTAGCTACTTAAATATCAATTGCCATAATCATTGGAAATCGTTGAAAATTGATAGGCTTCTTCGTCACATGACCTTAAACACTGTGTATAAATTAAAGGTCCATCGGATATTAGCTTTAGTCCGTAGAGCGTCCATAAGCAATTGTGGACGACGGACTGACAGACCGACGGACGGGGGTGACGAGAATATATGACCACATTTCAATTTGGGCATATAAAAATAAACAAATACAATACACGTGACCTAATCCACTTATAAAAATAAACAAATACAATACACGTGACATAATCCACTTATAAAAATAAACAAATACAATACACGTGACCTAATCCACTTATAAAAATAAACAAATACAATACACGTGACATAATCCATTTATAATAATAAACAAATACAATAAACGTGACCTAATCACTTATAGAAATAAACAAATACACGTAACCTAATCCACTTATAATAAACAAATACAATACATGAGACTTAATCCACTTATAAAAATAAACAAATACAATACACGTGACTTATTCCACTTATAATAAACAAATACACGTGACCTAATCCACTTATAATAATAAACAATATATACCATCTACCTCACTTTCTCAATATGCCCTTGTATAAATACAGATACATATATATTTTGTTCGAGTAAATAAAATAGTTTTCATTAACATCGCAATCGTTAGCCACGAGATCTCCTCTACTTAGAAGTGGCCTCGGGTGTTTTAGAACGGGAAAGCATTCCCTGTCTCGTGTAATAATGATTTGTTTTGTTTATCTTTTTCAGGAAACTTGTCGATTCAATCACCCCTGGATCATAGCTTTTTAAACGTGAACACAGTTGCCCTTGATTGTTCTGCGAGCTGTGCGCTAAAAGCAGTTTATCGAAGGGCAAACAACCAAGTTGATTAATTCTTTGTTCTAGGTCCAGTGTCATTATTCCAAAGGTGATCTGGGAACTCGCTGACTTTAAGAGTACAAACGTTTATACACCACAACAAAAACATTACGTTATATTACGTGAATAGCTAAAACTAACTCACAAACAATAAACAGATAAAGAATCTCCTACAAGTCTTGTCTTTTTATATAAAAAAAAATCAACGCAAGTCGATAATATAAAAAAGAACGAGGCCGTGCCGAGTTGGTTTTTTTTTCCTTTTACGTTATCGACGAGTGTTGATATTTTTTTTATATCAAAAAGGACGAGTAACAGATTTTATTGATCGCCCAACCCGTTCCATCCTTTTTAATTGATCAATCAAATTCATGTAGAATATGAAATTCATCACACAAGACGGTGACAAGCGATATCTACTGTAGAATGTGTTATTAGGTGATAATATCAAACAACTATTCCCCCGGGAGAGGCCAAACACTCAAAACTTGACAAATACATTCTAACATACCAACCAATATTATATAACATAATTTCGTTTGTAATCATTGTACTTAAATTATAACAATTGATATTACATTGATAAAATGATTACTATTAGGTTTTATCATTAAAATGATTACTATTAGGTTTTATCATTAAATTGATAAAATGATTTCTATTAGGTTTTATCATTATCTCAGTGTTTATATGGAAGTTGGATACAATTGTGTAGGGAAGATATATAGACCAGCAACAACAACAAATCAGAAACCATTCAGGACAGCGAGATATATATTTGCCCTACACATTTGTTAATGTACATCGAGTCAATACTCGTGGATGCAACACCTAAATAAACAAGCCAACAGTGGGGCTGATGTCCCCCGCTGAAATCCCCAAATAAATAGATGACACATATTAATTAATCGCATATCTATTTTGTTTTCAAAAGTATCGAGCAATCAAACTGATTATCACTCTCTATCAGATAGAATCAAAGTTATCTTGCCGAAAGCAACCACCAAGGAAATTGCTTATCTCTACTTAGCTTTAGCTCGATATGTTAATTATTGAACTCAGTCAAGACGAACATCTACATCAAGTTTAAACATTCTACCTCAATTAGAAGCAGAGTTGTTATGTTCCAAAGTCTTGACCAATCAAAATGCTTATTGCTTCTTAGCCAAGCAGACGATTCTCATCATCGAACTTAGTCAAAGTATTGATGTAATGAAACTATAGTCTATACACCAAATTTCATCACTCTCACTTAATTAGAACTACAGTTATCGTGTCCCAAAGCATCAACCAATCAAATTGCTTATCTCTACTTACCATAAGCAGAAAATGCTCATCTTCACACTCGATCAAGGCATTGACCTCATAAACACCTACACCAAGTTTGAACATTCTAGCTCAATTAGAAGGAGAGCTATTGTGTTCCAAAGTCTTGGCCAATCAAATTGCTTATCGCTCTGCTTACCCTCTGCAGATAATGCTCAATATCGAACTTAGTCAAGGTATTGATGTAATGAAACTATACACCGAGTTTCATCACTCTCACTTAATTGGAACTAAAGTTATCGCGTCCCAAAGCACCAACCAATCAAATTGCTTATCTCTACTTATACTAAGCAGAAAATGCTCATCTTCACACTTAATCAAGGCATTGACCTAATAAACACCTACACCAAGTTTGAACATTTTAGCTCAATTAGAAGGAGAGTTATTGTGTTCCATAGTCTCGGCCAATCAAATTGCTTATCGCTCTGCTTACCCTGAGCAGAAAATGCTCATTATCGAACTTAGTCAAAGTATTGATGTAATGAAACTATACACCAAGTTTCATCACTCTCACTTAATTAGAACTATAGTTATCGTGTCCCAAAGCATCAAACAATCAAATTGCTTATCTATGCTTACCCTAAGCCGAAAATGCTCATCTTCGAACTCCGTCAAGGCATTGACCGAATAAACACCTACACCAAGTTTGAACATTCTAGGTCAATTAGAAGGAGAGTTATTGTGTCCCAAAAAGTGTGACGGACAGACAGACGGATGGACAGACGGACAGACAGACAGACAAATGGACAGACGGACAGACAGACAGACAAACGGACAGACGGACGAACCCATTTTAATAGTCCCCTGCTTTCTTCGAAAGGCGGGGGACAATCAAATGACTTATGTCGGCTTAGCCTGCGCAGAAAAGGTTCATCTAATTAGAACTAAAGTTATCGTGCCCCAAAGCATCAACCAATCAAATAGCTTATCTCGGCCTATGCAGAAAATGCTCATTATCGAGGTATTCATGTAATGAAACTATAAACCAAGTTTGATCACTCTCACTTAATTAGAACTAAAGTTATCGTGTCCCAAAGCATCAACCAATCAAATGACTTATGTCGGCTTAGCCTGCGCAGAAAAGGTTCATCTTCGAACTCCATCTAGGCATTGACCTAATAAAGGCCTACACCAAGTTTGAACCTTCTACCTCAATTGGGAGGAGAGTTATTGTGTCCCAAAAAGTGTGACGGACAAACAGACAGACGGACGAACCCATTTTAATAGTCCCCTGCTTTCTTCGAAAGGCGGGGGACAATAAGCATACACACCAATTTTGAACATTTTAACTCAATTCAAAGGAGTGTGACGGACAGACAGACAAACAGACGATGGACGAACCCATTTTAATAGTCCCCTGCTTTCTTCGAAAGGCGGGGGACAATAAGCATACACACCAATTTTGATCATTTTAACTCAATTCGAAGGAGAGTTATTGTGTTCCAAAGTCTCAGCAAATCAAATTGCTTATCGCTCTGCTTAATCTGAGCAGAAAATGCTCATTATCGATCTTAGTCAAGGTATTACTGTAATGAAACTATACACCAAGTTTCATCACTCTCACTTAATTAGAACTAAAGTTATAGTGTCCCAAAGCATCAACCAATCAAATTGTTTATCTACTTAATTAGAACTAAAGTTATAGTGTCCCAAAGCATCAACCAATCAAATTGTTTATCTCTGCTTACCCTAAGCGGAACGGACAGACAAACAGACAGACGGACGAACCCATTTTAATAGTTCCCTGCTTTCTTCGAAAGGCGAGGGACAATAAGCATGAACATTTACTCAATTCGAAGATCAACCAATCAAATTGTTTATCTCTGCTTACCATAAGCGGAACGGACAGACAGACAAACAGACAGATGGACGAACCCATTTTAATAGTTCCCTGCTTTCTTCGAAAGGCGGGGGACAATCAAAGTAGGAGAGTTATTGTTTTCCAAAGTCTCGACCAATCAAATTGCGTATCGCTCTGCTTACCCTGAGCAGAAAATGCTCAATTATCAAACTTAGTCAAGGTATTACTGTAATGAAACTATACACCAAGTTTCATCAATCTCACTTAATTAGAACTAAAGTTATCGTGTCCCAAAGCATCAACCAATCAAATTGCTTATCTCTGCTTACCCTAAGCGGAAAATGCTCATCTTCGAACTCCATCAAGGCATTGACCTAATCAACACATACACCAAGTTTGAACATTCTAGCTCAATTAGGAAGAGAGTTATCGTGCCCCAAAGTATCAACCAATCAAATTGCTTATCTCTGCTTACCCTAAGCGGAAAATGCTCATCTTCGAACTCCATCAAGGCATTGACCTAATAAACACATACACCAAGTTTGAACATTCTAGCTCAATTAAAAGTTATCGTGTCCCAAAGCGGAAAATGCTCATCTTCGAACTCCATCAAGGCATTGACCTAATCAACACATACACCAAGTTTGAACATTCTAGCTCAATTAGGAAGAGAGTTATCGTGCCCCAAAGTATCAACCAATCAAATTGCTTATCTCTGCTTACCCTAAGCGGAAAATGCTCATCTTCGAACTCCATCAAGGCATTGACCTAATAAACACATACACCAAGTTTGAACATTCTAGCTCAATTAAAAGTTATCGTGTCCCAAAGCATCAACCAATCAAATTGCTTATCTCTGCTTACCCTAAGCGGAAAATGCTCATCTTCGAACTCCATCAAGGCATTGACCGAATCAACACATACACCAAGTTTGAACATTCTAGCCCAATTAGGAAGAGAGTTATCGTGTCCCAAAGCATCAACCAATCAAATTGCTTATCTCTGCTTACCCTAAGCGGAAAATGCTCATCTTCGAACTCCATCAAGGCATTGACCTAATAAACACATACACCAAGTTTGAACATTCTAGCTCAATTAGGAAGAGAGTTATTGTGTCCCAAAAAGTGTGACGGACAGACAGACGGACAGACAGACAGACGGACGGACGGACAGACGGACGGACAGACAGACGGACAGACAGACAGACGGACGAACCCATTTTAATAGTCCCCTGCTTTCTTCGAAAGGCGGGGGACAATAAGCAATTGTCCATAGCAATTGTTTATTGCTCCATCCAGTTACTAACAATCTGATTAAAACGTGGATCCTATTTCGTTTCGTTTTTATAGTTCAAAATTTCGTTTTACGTGTCTTTACTACACTAGGATCTGGAAGCGTTGTTATCATTGACGTGTTCTGAATAGTGTTAGGTATTAACCAATGAAACGATCTGTTACGGCGAGCTTTACGCGTGTTTTGCACGGAACTGTGGGTAATCCACCAGTAACATCAATGCTGATTGGTTAATCAAATGTCAGACATCCGGATCAAAAGCCTCTGGTATGACCTCTGACGTGATCTATCGCAACAACCAGTCAAATCTTCATATAGTAAAGGCCATCGGAAGTATAAAAAAACGAAACGAAATATAGATCTGTATTGTAATCAGATTGAGTTACTAAATCAATGTCCCTAGAGGTTTATTTTAATTAATTCACTGATACGTGATATAATTCACACATGACTAATATCATATTTCACATTTTAACATATATAACTAGCATTGTCAACATTCCTTATTTACACTAATACGTCATAACAACATCATAATAATCATTCATTAATAAAACAAAAAGAAATCATGCAATTTCAAAAAACATTTCACACATTCAGTATTAGCTACTTCATAAATTATTGATTGTGTCATTCACTGTATCATTATTCACTATATCATTATGATTGATTTAATCACTGTATCACTCATAATTCACTAAGTCACTCATTATTCATTGTGCCATTCATTATTCAATGTGTCATTCATTATTCATTGTGCCATTCATTATTCATTGTGCCATTCATTATTCACTATATTCATTGTGCCATTTATAATTCACTATATTCATTGTGTAAGTCATTATTTACTATTTCGTTCATTTTTCACTATATGAATTATTCACTATATGAATTATTCACTACGCCATTCATTATTAGTCAATTAGTATTCCCTGTGTAATTAATGTGTTAGTCATTACGCCTTTTCGTTATTCAGTACTCAATAGTTATTAATACAATTAAAGACGTCACACCACTAATAAAAATCAATAAATCGTAATTTTGTAAATATTTCGAAAATAACTTGATTAACTAGCTTTCGAATTCGGTTATTAAAAAATAAAAAAAACATATCAAAATTATAATTTTCGTTGTTATTTAAAATATTGGCATTACTGTTATTTTTTATAGGAGACAGGATTAATCATTTATAATTTAATACATATCCTATATATGATGATATGATATACATCCAATATATTGTGATATACAAAGCATTGACACCCAGATTCAAAATGAAATGCATTTAAATATATGTATACATATATACTACCCTTAACCACACCAATTATATAATTCATAATATCACTGTATAACATCCTTGTTAAGTAAAACCACAGATCAATGAAGCATGAAATTAAGGCGTGTATATTGAAATGTTGGTGCATTCCAATGTCTCCATAATACAGAGGTGTTCGTGGGTTCCAAATGTCCCCATAATACAGACTTGTTCATGGGGTCAAAATGTTGACAAAATATAAACGTGTTCGTTGGGTCCAAATGTTCCTATTAATATAGAATTGTACTAAGGGGTCAAAATATACCAAAAAGCAGACTAAGACTTGTACAATGGGGTCAAAATATACCCATAATATAGACTTGAACAATTGGGTCAAAATATACCCATAATATAGACTTGTAATATCAAATAGCTTTAACAACAAAAGCATACTGGCAGAGATACTTATTAATGTTCCAACCATTTATAATTTACAATATATCATATATTTTAAAAAATATTAATAAATTGTTCATATTCGGAGATTATTATATAATTAACACTTTAGAAACCAGAGCAAATGAGAAATGGGGTTTAACGTCCACTCGACACAAACCATGTCATTTCTTGAGTAAAATATGGTTCAATTTTATTTCAATGATTCACTTGCGCATAGGGGTCTTTAACTGTGGGAGGAAACCAGAGGACCAGGTGAAAAATCCCTTGAGGTTGGACAGGCGACCCTACTCCTTGTCACGTACAACCAGGGAATCACAACCTCGCCAGTTGACTCAATGATATACCTTATGATACAACGCAAACGCATTTGCTAACCATTTGTCCATCCACCCCCCCCCACACCCTTTCCCCAAAACAATGTTCATATGGCATTTTAGTAAATGGGAACATTCATTAAACTCAAAACTTTATGAAATAAAATATTGCATTTAATACTAACGAAGTTGACGAGAGAATAAGTGTTACAACATTGCCCCCATTAAATCCAATAATTATTATATTTCATAAAATTTTATATTTTTTGGTACATTAAAACATCTAAATACAAACAATTGCTGCTATTTCAAACAAAAATGACATCAACATATATAACAATATTGACAATATGAAGAATGTTCTAAATGTTTTGCTGCCATACTATTAAAGCTAATTGTTGAATTCAATCCCTGGGAAAATCATTTGCATAAAAATGGTTAACACCTCACATACTTTAAAGGGAATTAACTATTGAGATCAGTAAGACTGTAATGCCTTAGTTATTTACAGACATAACAAAGTTTAGCACATGGAATTGTATCTTTTGGAATATTGGGTTTTGAATTAAAATCTAGCACTTGGAATTTTAGCTCTTGGAATATTAGCTTTTGGAATATTAAATCTCTGAGGATTTAGAAATCTGCTCTGCGCTTTCATATTCGACCAATGATCATGGCATCCACAATATCTCCTGCATTGAGCTCCGTCAAATTATCTGTTTTTGGTGGTAATATCATCAGGGCATTGGCACATCTCATACTCAATAATCGACTACTTATTTGATTACCAGTGCTGGTTGCTATGGGGGTAGGGTCATCTGGTTTCCATGACAGCTCAACCCGGTGATACTCCGGTCTGGGATCTAGCCTGGCATCCCGGTCAATTCGAGCTTTGACAATGGTTCGTCTTGGATTTGGCGAGCCGATCATTTTGTGATAAGCCGGAATGACGTACAAATTACAGGTAACCAAAGCAGATACGGGGTTGCCGGGAAGACTAAAGAACAGCTTTTTCACCCCGTTGAAATCCAGAGAAGCAAAAGTTGTAGGTTTACCAGGCTTCATAAAAACACGACCAAAATGGATATCAGCTTTAAAATCTGTCTGCAAGACTTGTTTTACAAAGTCCTTCTCTCCCATTGATACTCCCCCAGAGGTAACGATGATTTCAGCGCTCTTCAGGGCAGCTTTGAGAAGTTTTAATAAGCCATCGGGTGTATCAGGAGCAATACCAAGATCTTTTACGGTAACTCCATAATCTGTCAACTGGGAAATAAGCGTTGTCCTGTTACTATCTCGAATTTTTCCTTTCGTCAAAGGTACGTCAGGTTCCACCAATTCATCACCCGTCGACATGACGCCAACAACAGGAACATGGTAGCATTTTATTGTTGTTACACCAACGGTTGCTAGGAGACCAAGTTCTGCAGGACCTAACCTCTGACCTTTACACAAGACTTGTGAGCCCTCGGTGATATCTGACCCAACTTTACGAATATCTTGACCAATCTTAGGTTCTGTCAGAAGTTTAATTTCAACTTCTCTTTTGCCGTCGTCCGTCCATTTTTCCAGTGTCGTATCTTCTACTTGAATAACTGCATCAGCTCCCTGGGGTAATGGTGCTCCAGTGTTAATTCTCATGCAATTTCCTGGAGTAACTTTCCTAACTGGCATATCTCCAGCTGTAGATTCACCCATGACGTGCCTTAAACCACTTCCGTCAGCAGCAATAACAGCATAGCCATCTTTAATAGAGGCAGGAAAAGGGGGCAATGCATCTTTGGCAAATATATCCTCGGCTAAATATCTTCCCAAAGCTTTCCTAAAATCTACTTCTTCAACTTTCTGGGTTTCAGCGTGCTCTAGAACAATTTTTAATGCTTCGTCCACGGTAATGATAGGATATGGTGATTCCCTGGCTCTGAAAGCGACTAGAGATGGGTCAACTTTACTGTTGCTATGGTGTGCATGTTTGCGGTGATGATTACTATGGTGATTGCCATGGTGATGGTCATGATGACTAGGGCTATGGTGACCAGAACTATGATGACCAGGACTCTTGTGACCAGAACTATGATCACCAGGACTGTGGTGACCAGGACTGTGATGTCCACGACCACGGTGATCATGTTCTCCAGGACTCTTGTCGCCATGGTGATGATGGGAATGGCCATCATTTTGGTCGCCATGGTTATTATGATGATGGTGATGGTGGTGAGTGTGTTCAAGTTGGTGTTTATGATGCTGGTATTCATGGGTATCTCTGTGGCCAGGTGGAAAATTAGAGCCTTGAGGAGGAAACTTAACTCCCTCAGCCAACAGATCTTTATGAACCTGTGCCACTTCGACCCTTGAGTCTCTGAGTAAATCGACAGCGTGTGGAATGCTTGGAGAGACAATGCGTAAACATTCTTCAGACCCTTTAGGACTGCCTGGTAAATTGATAATTAGAGTTGAACCTCTTATACCACACGTCAGTCTGGTTAACATCGCTAAAGGCGTAATATCCAGAGAACCTTTAATCATCGCTATAGCCATACCAGGGGCCTCCTTATCAATGACGGATTTTGTTGCTTCAGGTGTGACATCACGAGGAGAGAAGCCCGTACCGCCTGTTGTCAGAACAAGTTCAAGTTTTCTGACATCACTCCATTCCTTCAACCGATCCGCTATTTTCTCTCGGTCGTCGGGGAGAATATCTTCTAATACAACTCGGCCAGTGAATAACTTGTCTTCTTCAATCAATCGGCGCAAATTATCCCCCTTCCCCTGATTGCCTCCGATACTGTCGTTGTAATACGTATCACTGACAGACAGAATCCCAAGAAGAATTTCATTGTTCTGTTCACTTTTATCGTCCGCCATGCTTGTTTACAATCTTCAAACAACATAGACTCCGCTATCCAGCCTATCAAAATACGTACCGTAGTATAAAACGACTCGTTAAACCAGACTATTAAAGTAAATAACGGAGTGGTTTAGAGCTAGGAGTCGTTAAAATAATACATGTAAGGCCAAAAGTTCATTTTCCCCTTATACTAATAAAGAGCAGTTTGCGTTAATAATCCAAATAATGGATTTAATGACAAAATCTTTTCTTAAATGATATCCAAATAAGATTTTCTAACTTCATCTAAATCTAAAAACAACCAAACGAATTGTACAGGCCTAATTAATTAAACGGCAGACATATTATAGCTGCTATAAAGATCTAGAAAATGTGGTAAAAGTTTAGAAGAATTTTATGCTTGGTTAACAGGTTATAGTGCGTGAATCTTTTTATGTAAACATTCAAAGAGAACTTCTAGATATTTTCCCCAGCTTTACTTTTATTCAAACATAAGATTAAGAATAATTGAATATTGCGTTTTTGTCCTCACAGATCTGTGAAGGTTTGAATAAATTATTTTAGCATATGTTGAACGGTTTCAAGATACTGGTATTTGATCATGCGGAGAGACTAAAATGCTTATAATTTGCCAAGAAATGTGTTTCTTGTTAGGAAAAACTTGCACATTTCTAGCTTCCACATTTCAAATGAGACCGGTGCCATAAATCTGTCTTAGGTTTATTTATTTTATTTATTTATTTATTTATTTTGGTCCCTTTTTCAATTTTTTTTTATCTCTCTTTTAATTGCATTAACCCAGGCCACGCCTCTGTCAGGGCAGTTTTTACCTCATAACACATTGCATTGCTTGTACTTTGGTCCTCTTAAGACTAACATGTGGGTTACGGGTACCGTAGAATTTTGCACGGACAGAGACTAATATTTTCCGGATTCCAACTGCAACTGGAATGGAATCGGGTTCAATGTCTGATCAACACTATGACTATGGTAATTCTTGTTTCTATGGTTACGTGTAGAAAGCAGAGAAGTAGAATCTTGCACGTGAACTCGGTATTTTTGTACACTCCGAACCACTAGGCCCACTGCTGTCGGTCATGCAGACACGACGCGGAACATATCTATCGAGGAGCCTAGTGCAATGGTTAGGTTTAAATATTAAGACCATCTGCGGATTTCAGGTCACAAGATGTTAACAGGGTTCGCAGTATAACCCAAACCCATAACCTCGTCAACAGTCATGTGCCCTAACCCTATTTTCATCTCGTGACCTTGACGAAGTCTGCAGGTGGCCTTAATATTTAGACCTGACCGGGTCACAAGCGGGAGAGAGAGAGAGGGGGGGGGGGGGCGTCCACTCGATACAAAATAGGTCATTTTGAGACTAACACATGATTCCATGTCAGGTACAAGCAGAGAAAAAGAGAGAGAGGCAGACAGACAGACAGGCAGACTATTGGGTTTAACGTCCACACGACACAAACTAGATCATTTCGGGACTAACATATGGTTCATTTTTATTTCAATATTTCGCATCCGTGTAGGGGTCCTTAGCAGTGGGAGAAAACCGGAGGACCTGGAGAAAACCCACGAGGTTGGACAGGCGACCCTACTCTGTCACGTACAACCGGGGAATCGAAACCACGGCAGTTGATTTAATTACAGACGCGCAGGCATTAACCATCCACCACCCCCACCTCTACCCAACCCTACCCCCCATGGGTTGCAAAGGAACTCATTCAAAACTTAATCTTAAAGTATTGTTTGTTCTGGACTGTTCTCATTCCATTTGCTTATCTCGAATCATGTAATTCCTTCCACCTTTTTAGAAGACAATTATTTTCTTGAACCATAAATGACACAATCACCTGCTGTTTGCTTTACGTACAAACACTGGTTATTTTAGTGAGTATAATGTGAAAAATCTGATAATTTCTGTAACTAATTTGATTTTAAGACCCCGGAGCGTAATCAGGTGTACCCAGTCACTACTTACTTCCCGATAAACTCATCAATACTTTTTTCTAATCAATTTAATACTATTATAAAGGGTGTCAGGGTTATCCCCCCTGTTGCTATGATGTAGATATCGGAATTGTGTACTAGGTTAACATCAGCATGTTGCCATGATAAAAATTGTAAATTGTTTCTTCGTCTTGGAATAAATATACAGTCGTAGATCATTCAACCGTACACGTGAAATGGGTATTGTCGATTTGTCCCTTCCGGGAGTGGAGGGAGGGGGGTATGAGTGATATGGGGGTACGATCTGTCATCAATGCAAAGGTCGGGTTTTCGATCCCACGGCTATATGTGATAAGGAGTAGGACCGTATGCCTAGGCTCCTGGGACCTTCTCTGGTTTCTTTCCACTGCTAATGTCTTACTTTCCAGAAGGTGGGCATACGTCATACAGTGTGATAAACAGGGGGATCTAGCCCGGGCTGCATCGATTCCGCCTACTCGTCATCAAATTCCACCCCAACCTCGTGGGTTCTCTCCGGGTCCTCCGGTACCCTCCCACTGCTAAAAGACCCCTACGCCTGCAACCGAATTATTGAAATAAAATTAAACCATATGTTGGTCCCGAAATTACGTAGTTTGTGTCAAATGGACGTTAAATTCAAATTCTCTCTCTCTCCCTTTTTAGTGTGTATACTCTCTCTCTCTCTCGCAGGACCCCTTTACATGAGTACACGGGATCTCGGTTTTTCAACCCATCCTAACGAATGCGAGCAGTTCCTTTCCAGATCCCTAGATTGTTTATAATGTTGACGGAACTGGACGGATAATGCCACTGCCCAGACTAAAGTTTAAAAGTTCCCGCGAGGCGTTGGAACAGTTTTTATATTCCCAACAGTAAACATTCTTGAGATACACAATATGTGGCAATATACTTAGGAAATAGAAACCAGTTGCTCGGCTGCCCGAGATGATTAACTCACCTCGAGGCTCCATGTTAATATATTGTTTTTACGGGTCCGCCCATGTCACTTCCTCGCCTAATTACAGGTATTTCTGTCCAGTTTCACCTTCTTTGTACTAGGAATCCCAGCAGGCATGGGAGGAACCAAATCCATAAATAGTTCCTCACAAATGTCAGGATGTCCCGTTTTCATGGTTCAACAACCGTTTAAAGGAGCATGTGTTTATTAAAATCAGAATAACTTCGCGTATTAAAAGCCCCATCATGCCTGAATATGGGTTAAAGGAGGCAATAAGTCTCTATAACTCAGTCTCATCCAAGTCTTCAACATTGCAATCAAGATTTACTGGTCTATTTAAATCAACATTGATGTTATCTTACCGTGAAAAGATGGGCTTTTGATATCCAATATTTCAGACGAAATGAAAATTTTAATATTGGCATTGAATCGTGTGACAGAGTGTTTTCCAGTGCTATTTGTAATGAAGTGACTCGATGAACGAGGCTATTCATACCCAGGAGAATACTACCAGTGTAATATCCATGTGCCAAAGACTCATTCAATTTGGACTCCTCACGTATTTCGCCGAATGTAATTGATTAGAAATGACAGTAAAAACAAACGATTCAATGTAAATCAGTTTATATATACATTTACATTACATTATTATGCGTTGTGACCCATTTGTATCCATTTCTAGGTGCCCCCAAAAATAATAGGGATTTAGTGTTTATGAGACCATACACAATCAAGAGTATTTATATTAAAAAAAATATTTTGGTACAAATCGATTGATTCTATTTAATTTTTAACATTCCAATCTTCCAACCTGCTGCGCGCACCTGTAACTTGTATCGTACCGAAGCCATAACTTACATCACATGAGCACCAATCAAATGTTCTGGATCTTGGACAAGCAATTCAATAGAGTTTTTTTCACTCAACAGTAAAACTTTCTTGAATTTAAACATAAAAATATAATTAAAAACTGAACTCCTTAACCATATGTATAGCTTCATGGCGAGTTACTTTATGAAGAATTTCGATGTTAATATAAGAAATGGAACTCGCCAACCGTTTGGTGGCTTCATGGCGAATTTTGACATCAAATATGTTAGAAATGACATCCACTCTTCACTTGGTAGAAACCAATTCATGGGAATTATCTTGGGTGGCCAACACCATGGTATTTATAAACAATATGTGGAATTTATTAGTGTTTTTCAACAAGAGCAGCTACTGAACCATTTGTCCGCCTTGAAGGAGAGGGCGATATGGGGGTTTAACTCGACACAAACTAGGTCATTTCGTAATTAAGCTATGGTACAATTTTATTTCAACAATTTGCTTGCGCATAGTGGTTTTTAGTAGTTGGTGGGGGGAGGACAGAGAAAACCCTTAGAGAGGCCATCTTACTCCTTGTCACGTACAAGTGCGGTAATGAATCACCCGCCTTCAAAGCAACTCATGGGACATTATTATGGTGTTGATGAAACCATAAAGTGATTACATTTTATACGAAATATTACTCAATTTGGAGTCACGGTGGCCTAGTGAGTAAGACGTTGGCTCGCTAACCTGGATGTCCTGTGTTCGATCCCTGCGTTGGCCGTGAATGTTCATTGGGATTTTCCGGCGTGGCTATCCTTTGTCAGTCGTACAGGACGGAGCACCAAAAGAATCGTTGGCAGTTGGAATTCGCTATACGAGTAGGCTGTAGCACCGCTGTCCGGGCAATATATCTACCATACTACGCTGTATGAAATATGCCCGTCTTTAATAGCCCAGTCGGAGCAGATCAGTAGGACGCTAAACCCCATTTCAGTTCAGTTCATTTCATTTCATTTCAATATGTATTTACTAGCAGAATGCCCGGCTTCGCTCGGGGGTCATAACCCCGAAACCGGAAGTGGTAGACTAACGCCACCTGGCCTGTGTTACTCCCGGGTCCGAGCTACCCCTATACCCCAAATTTCAGACTCGGGGCAGACCTAGTGTAGCCGCCAACCCCGAATAGCCCGGGGTTCATAACCCCAAAACCGGAAATGGTAGACTAACGCCACCTGGCCTATGTCCGAGCTACCCCTATACCCCAAATTTCAGACTCGGGGCAGACCTAG